ACTACTGGGATAGGACAATTACACCGTGAGAAAATAACAGCCCAATGTCCCTTATAAATACAGACACAAAAATCCTCAGCAGAATACTAGTAAAGTGAATCCAGTAACACATACAAAATGGCCAGTGAGAATTTTTTCAGGAATGTAAGCCTGGTTTAGCATTCGAGAACCAATCAATGTAAAACAGCACACTGATAAAACGAAGGACTAGCAAAACCCCATGCTCATCCAAATGGACACAAAAAAAGTGTTTGACAAAATCTAACACATTTTTAGAATTTAAAAAATACAACAAAGTAGGACTGGGACAGAATTTTTCCTTAATCTGACAAAGGACGTCTCTGACACACTCCTAGCCAACATCATATTCAGTGATGAAGAAATGAAAGTTTCCCCCATGTTAACTAAGGAAAAGGGCAGCTGTTCTTGCACCTCTAACCATGCAGCCAAGCAAGGAAAAGAATCAAACACCATCTGTTGAAAAGAGAGAAGAAAATCAATCTTTACGTGTTGACATGATCTTGTAGATGGAAAACCTTAAAGAAGCTATAAAACACAAAACAAAAACTGCCAGACCCTAATGAACTGGTTCAGCAAGGCTCCAGTATATGAACACCCTGAAAATGCCATCAAGAGAACAATTCCATTTACAATAGTATGGGAAATAATAAAAATACTCAGGATTTTTTTAAAGATCAGGACTTATATACTGAAATCTATAAAATATCATTTAAAGAGATTACAGGGGGCCAGGGATTTAGCTCAGTGGTTCTGCCACCTGCCTTGAAAGCACAAGGTCCTGAGTTCAATCTCTGGTAGCAGGAAAAAAAAAAAAAAACCATACAAAATAAAGACATTACAGGGAAATACATTCCATGTTCGTGGATTGGAAAATTTAATACTGTTTAGATGGCAAAATTCCCCAGATCAATCAACAGATTCAATGCCATCTCCATCACAATCCCACATGACTTTCTCGAGAAATAAATAAGCTAATCATAAAGTTTACATGGAAATGCAAGGGACCCAGGCAGGAGAAAAAAATTCTTAAAAAAGAACAACATTGAAAGATGATCAATTTTATGTCAGCTTGACAAAGTAGAGCCTCCAGTTAGCCAACTACTATGAAAGTATATAATTAACACCTACATCGACTGATTGGTGATTTGGGTGGGCCTGAACTAATCAGTTGAAGGGCCTTAAAAGCAGAGTTGAGCTACCTCACTGTGGACTGCAGTCTGAGCACCACCCAAGCATCTTGGCATGCTCTTGTTGCAACTCTGCCCTGTGGATTCTGGACTTGGCTCGTCAGTCTACACAATCGCGAGAGTCTCTATATATGCACACATACAATGTCTTCCTGGCTCCGTTTGTCCCAGGAAAACTGACCGATGTGGAGAATGTGCAGAGAGCGCCAGAATTTTCTCCAGCCCGACAGGACCAAGCCCGTGCAGCTGGAGTAAGGATGAGAGTACAGATATGTGGATGCGATTCACAGTGGCCCCAGCTGATTTTAACAGGTGGCGAGACAGCTTGGAGGGTAAAAGTCTTCTCAACGACGCAGATGGAGTCGGGCGCAGGACTGCACTCCGCTCTAGCTGAAGGCCCTACAGGGCTGTCCGGGGATGCACACGTGGAGAAAGCCTGCGGCTCTCAAGGCTGAGCCGGAAACGAGGCACCCCATGCCAACAGAGAATGCGGTAACGCTCTGCAAGAACAGAGAGACCCTCCCTGGACCTTGACAGGAGCCACCCTGCCAACACCTCCAGCGTAGTTCTCCGGGCAGAGAGCAGCAAGACGCCGAGTTTCCACTGTTTCAGCCACCGTTAAAGAAATGCTAGAAAACGTCACGTGAGAGATTCCTGTCAGAGCCACGGGCCGCATGGGGTGGGCTGCGCGCACGACAGGGGCCTCACAGAGGACGATGGGGCTGGGAGACCCCAGGGCTCTGTGCTGTAACCGCCACCATGAGGGCTGAGCTCGGCACGGCGTGTGTGTGTGACAGTGTGGGTGTGGGGCCCATGGCACCGACGGGGGTATACAAGGACGGTCTGACAGCGGTGCCCCCACGATCCCTGGGGCTGGCAGACGTCTGTTAGGTCCCTGCATTTCCTGACTTGCAAGACAAACTTCCTGTAAGCCCTGCTGTTCGGCTGCTGGCATCTCATTTACTGCGTGCCCTGATCGCCAGCAGCGGCCACACCGAGCGACTGGAGCGCGCTATGTGGATCTGTAACTGCGCCCTGGGAACTTCACACAATCACGAATTTGCCTAATGACCCGGTTCTCATCACAGTGCACTCCGTGGTCGTCCACACACAGGGCCACTGTGGGCGCGATCAGGCTGGACAGGACGAGACCATACTTCGGAAGTGTGCTGCGTGAGGGTGGTCATTCGTCGGGTATCACCCCATCTCCGCGTCGGAACCGGGGCAGAACACGCTCAGTTCAGCCTCGGGTTTAAGTGCCGCTTTAGGAATTTTACAGATACAGCTGCTACTGGTTCAGGGACACGGTTTTCAAAAGTAAGGACAGGGACTCAGGAAAGTTTGACTAATTTGGGACTGCTACCAGTAGAGTACTCACTGTATAAAAATCCTGTGTAGCTCTTTTGTTGAAATCAAAGCAAAAATATTTCTATGGAAGTGAAATACAACAATCTATAAATAATATATGAGTTGTAGCCCATGAATAGAGCATCTAGACACGCAGAATAATGATTGAAGTTGTCATAGTTTTATCATTCCTGGCCTTCGATCACAGAAAAACCATAACTACATATCCTTCTTACCTTGCCATTCTGAGGACACATCTGTCACTGTGGGAGAATGGAACATATTTCACTTCACGGTTTTACCAGCTCGATTTATGCCTGTAGCACTCAGGCGTGGGCATGTGGCTGCCGCCTGCGCTGGTCCCTTCCTATCAGGTGGACCAGGACTCAGCAAAGACCGCAGAAACACAGAGGCCCCACGAATCCCGGCACCTGTCACCTGAACACCTCCGATACAGCCCCTGCAGGGAGTGACCAGAGCCGCCCTGGCCACAGCTCTGTCCCCAGGCCCCACAGACCTCCTAAGGCTTCACCGTGCCGGCGCCCCCAGCATCAGCACGGTGCCATGTGTGTTCCTTGGGTTTTTTGTTTCAGTGACTCTAAATTACCCAAGTAAACAGCAATTTATTACTACACTTCACTCCTGCTTTGGTATAGGTCATGGACTGGAACAAAAGGCCTTCAGAGGGGTGAATTCTCCCGATGGTCTCCCCGGGAGAAGGTTCAGCTGCCCAGGGGGCTCTGCATTCTGTGCGGATCAGACTTAGAGATGTGGGGACTCAGAGACCAGGTAGGTGCGCGGGGGACAGAGGAGACAGGCAAGGCCATCACCGATTTCCAAGGCAAAGAAGCAAAGCACATCAAAATACCGACTAGGACGGAGACCGGACGGAGGGCCTGGTGGGACTGCCAACTTAGACTGCATTTTGGTCTTCGTCTGTCCAAACAAACACGGCAGCGATTCACGGAACCCGAGGAGAGGAGTCTTTAAGGGACATTCACATCCTGCCCCTGGCTATCGGTCCACAGAACTGCTGCCTGGCTTCATGTCACATGAGAAACCATTAGCGATGTAGAGTGGATTCATCAGATTCCAGCAAGAAGTGCGCACCTACAAGTGTTTAAAAGTTGCTGAGGGCTATAAAACTAACCCTGCAATGCAGGCAGAAAGTCAACAGTCCAGGGCTGAAAAGGGAGTGCAGATGAGTGAACCACATTAATCACCTGTCACACAGATTACCAGTCGCATTAGAAACACAGAGTAATAGGAACAAATAAGGTGCCAGGCTGGAAGCATTTTTACAGCAAGGAACAAAAGTTTTTAATCTTTGTTTAAATAAGACTTCAAAAGGATTCCACATATAACCAACAATGAGACCATTAAAGAAAAATTAGCTTCAAGAAATGTGAGGCAGGGGGACCAAAGTTCCGACCTGTTCCAGATCCAAAGCCACACTGGCACTCCAGCAGGCTGAATGTAATCAGCACTCAGGAGATCTTAGACTTTCCTGTTTGCTTTGTCAGGCTGACCAAATAGCAGAAGGGTGTGACCGAGGGCCAATATTTATTTTTGCCCATTGCCGGTTTTATCAATGAGATTGTGGGATGTTGGTTCCTGAGGCAAATCCCAAGGTATTAAAACGACCTGTGGTGTCCTAGTGGCATGGAGAGACTGAGGGAGACTGAGGGGCCATCACAACTGCCATGGATGTGGCGGGCCCCATGCTCAGCCTGGGGACTCTGCTGCAGAAGTCCACAGAACCCGGAGGATATTTCCCTGCAGAGCTCCGGGTAGAATAAATGGGTCTTTCTCCCCAAGTAAAAATATACATAAAGAAAAAAATGACCCAAGTGGATACTTTTAGACTGAAAGATGAGACTCCCTCAGCCAGAATAATAATCACATCAACAGTAGGGTCATTTAAAGAAACTCAATCTTCAGACTGCATTAACGAGCGACTTCAACTGCCCCGGGACTCTCAGTCCAAGCCCCAGGCTCTCCCCTCTCTGGGACTTACATTTTCTGCCTCTGAGTTCTTTGAAGGGAAGAAAGAGAAAAAGCGATCACCTAGATGCATCCCTCCCTGTTCCATAACTCAGAGCAGCAGAAATGCTTGCAAACATAAAACAGACCTTATTTGCTGAAAGCAATGGTTTCTACCAGCGCACCATCATTTTGTTGGTTCGATGTGACCAAATCTACCGTGGCCACTGAAGGCTGGATTTACTCTAGAGCAGTAAGTGCGAGAGGAAGGCCACCGTGATCGTTTAGAGTCAACCTTACCAGGCCGGAGGCTCCTGCCTACGCAGCTCCCTGGGAATCCTACCAGAGAACGGGTGCCAGGTCTAGAAACGCGCTTGGGCCAAGCACAGGACAACTCCGCCTGAGCCCCGGAAACCTGCAGGGAAATGCTGAGGGCGGCGGGAGGAGACTCAAAGTACTTACGAAGATCCTGGACTTGCCGTAGGAGGGGGCCCTGAAGGGATGAAAGAGAAGTAATAGAAACTGTCAGTGTGGGAGCTGGGTGCAACCCGGACCACCACAAGCTCAAGTTCTCAGCCACCCAGAGGCGAAATTTACTTTTCTGGGATCTACTGTCTTGTTCCGGATTCTCTCCACTGCCTCTGTGACCCACAGCAGTGAGAATGCACGGGTCGCAAAGGTGAGCCCGAGTCACCAGAGTGTGGTCTTTGGCTCGGATGGGAGCCGTCAGCAGGGAGTGGGGCTTCCTGTCCCAGGGCTGCTGGCAGAGGGGGCACTCGGACTGCTTGGGGCACGGCGACTGGAGTCGGGCCAGCGGGATGGCCAGCCCTGGACCCTGCTCTGTCCCTGCACGTGACCACCGACTGCAGGCCATGGCGTACTCTTGTGCACAGTGGCCACACTTACTCGTGTGGAGCACAGGCACCTTGTGCACTTTCCCAAAGCCCCCATTCCTTCCGCCCTGGCCCCAGGACTCTGGTCCTCCTGCTTACCAAACTTGACGAACAGGACTCCGGTGGTAGAAACCACCTTCTTGCCATTGGTAGCCACGCACTGGAAGTAGCCGGTGTCGGTGGTGTCCAGGTTCCGGATCCGCAGCCGAGAGCCGTAGCTGGTTGCCCGGAAGGAGACCCTTCGCGGCTCTTGCACAACAGGGGCATCGTTCTTGAACCAGCGGATGGAGGGAGGCGGACTCCCCGAGACCTTGCAGTGCAGCTCCGCCGTCTGCCCCAGCGACGTGGTGATGTTGTTCATGGGCTCATTGAGGGTCAGGTAGGAATCTGCGGCAGGAGGGGAAGGAGGCGGGTGAGGCACTGGCACCCCAGCCCCCCAGGACATTCCAGCCTCCAGGTTCCCCAAAATAACCCATGCTTCTTGGTGCAAATAACAGCACAATAAAGAAGAGGAAAAAAGGTCAAAATTCACCTCAAATCTTTCCAACCCAGAGTAACAACATCTTTAACCTTCTCCAAGACCCTTCCTGTGTGTACACTTTGATGAGATGGAAAGAGTCAAAATCAGGGAGAAGCAGGAGAAATGCCTGCATGTTCACGAGGCGCGAGGCCAGGGCGGGTGCCGGTGATGACCGGGGCCCCATGGACGAAGTGGCAGGTGGGGCGGCTCCGTGACGTCACTCACGGCAGCGGAGCCTGTGACGTCACCCTCACTTCCCGGTCTCCACCCTGCGCCATCTGCCCATCAGTGTGCCTGCGCTCTACCAAGGAGAGCAGCTGTAACTTTAACCCGAGACTGACTGACATACGTCAGCCTACAGACCCTCACTGCCCAGGAGCTCAGAAACACGCCTGCACTCCACGACTAACAGGACAGAAAGCCTCCGACTTCCCTGGATACCGGCCTGCTCCCTGGTGCTGCCTCCCACCCTTCCCGCAAGCATCTACTGTCCTGATTTCCCTCTTCATGGCTCAGTTTGCAAATTTCAGAATCTCACATAAGTGGAACTGTTTTTATGTTTCCTACTTTGCTTCTGAGATCTGCTGTATTAAACACTTCCGTAATGAAATCCATTTTCCTTCGCCTTATTCTTGAATAAGTAGTGTTAAAAATCATTAAATAGTAGTCATAGAATCCAGTCAGAGAAAATAATCTGCATGTTTAAAATTAAGCTCAATACAAAAAAGAAAACATGCGCCGCTGCTGTAGTCATGGAGCCGTTTGATACTGTCTGCCACTCCCACCCACACGGTCCCTCCTGTCTTCCCGGCGCTCTGTGCTCTTCCCTCGCCCCAAAGTGCGCCGCTGCTGGATCTGCAGCTGTGCTCCCTCTGGCTCTCAACCCACAGCCTCCGGCCCAGCCTGGCACAGCGGTCCCAGGGACGGAAGGGGTCGGAACTGCATGGATCGGGACCCACCTCACCCTGGGGCTGAACTGAGCTCACGAGGTTCAGCTGGAGCAGCTGGGGACTGGCTAGTGGCTACTGTGCTGGACAGAGAAGACAGTGTATTTGTTGAATTTAATGAAAGTTTATTGGAAAATAAACTGTTCTGGAGCTGTTTTAACTGGATAATTTAATGACCAAAATGCCTGTTAGAGGCATTCTCAAAAGCTAAAACTAAAGGATCGATCATGTTCCACAAGAACACTGAGGCAGGTGTCATGGAAGTCTGGGGCGTGGCGCCTGTGCTGGGGGAGGCCAGGCGTGAGGGCTCTCCCTCCTGCAGCTCCACGGCTCTTTCATCACAGTTGCAAGTCCACGCCAGGCTTGGCAATGTCCTCTCACCCGCATGCAGCCTGAGGGACATGGATAGACGCATGCGCACCCCTAAGATGTGCTCGCGAGGCAGGGAGGCAGCCAGTTAGCACCTGGCCCTCTGGAACCATGGGCAACTCTCCACCCCACAGCACCGTCCCTGTGGGTCACTTGCACACGCCCCATGGAGGGGAATCAGGAGCCGCAGCTCACGGCCCCCAGCAGCACACTGGTGGCTCCCGTGCTGGCTGGGCCTGGACTTTGATCAGCTGGGTTTGGACCTCAGGTCTTCCCCAATGACCTCTGTGAACCTGGGCAAGATATTTAACCCCTCTGTACCTCAATTTAACCGGCTGAAAAATGGGGATAATAAACAAGGTTTTCCACCTGGCAAAACTGTTACAGGAAGATCAAAACTAAAGCCGGTGGCACCGGTGAAGCCCCAGGGCCTGTGTGTGATGGAACAGCAGGGACGGTGTGGATCAGTGCTGCTGCCGTCTCTCTGTAACAACACCCTGCACTGTGCTTTGGCGGATGCATGGCTTCCTGGTCGCCTCCTCCTGTTGCTAACAGGCGGGGAGTAGGAGCCACACTGTTTCCTCTGGGTCCTCAACACCTGCCTGGTCCCAGAGTGAGCAGTCAAAGGGCCTCAGGGCCTTCAGGTCCAGGCCGAGCCAGGCATCAACACAAGTCCAACAAGGCCCCGGCCAGCACATCGGCCGCTGCAGACTGGCACACTCCTTCCACGTCGGAATGAACCACCCCAGCCCTGTAGGGAGGAGGCGTAGCCCAGGAGGGCCGGGCAGGGGAATCTCTCACCCTGGTGAGCTTTCCCTGGCCCTGGCAGGGCTGGGTGCCTCATGGATGCGAGTGTGGCCCAGGTTGGAGCAGGCACTCGGGCTGCTCCTGGAGGCCGGTGCCTCGCCGGCCCCCCTCTCTGGCTCTGTAACACCTGTCAGAACTGCACACGAGGGCAGTGGGCATCTGCTTCCAGATCTCCCTGAGTGCTGCACGAAGGAGCCTGGCCACAGACAGGGCTTTGACACAGCTCCTCCCGGAGAGCGGAGCCTGGGCTGTGGTAGCCACGGCAGCTGTATCTTGGGCGCTCTGGGAGGACCAGCTCCATCAGCCCAGCATTTTGCCTGAATGACACGAAGGGACTGGAATAAAATGGACAAAAACGCCACACAGGCCCCAGGCAGGGCCCGCCCCCATTCCAGAGCCAGGGAGAAGCTTCCGGAAGCTTCCGGAGGTACCCAGGGGCCAGCTCAGTCAGTGCCCCCAGGCTGAGTGTGGCCACTCCTCTCCTGGACACTTGCTCTCACGGGGCAGAGGCACCACGCAGAAGAAGGAAGTCCATCACGGGCTGGGGACGGTCCTGCAGCTGGCTGGCACCTGCCCCCAGCTCTGAGTTCCTGACTCACCGCTGGCCTTGGGTCTGTGCCTCCTGGGGCAGCGCGGGCCCCACACAGGAGCCACGGAATGTGGGCGGCAGACACAGGAGCCGCTGGGTGGGGCCGGCGAGGGCACTGCAGCCCATGCGGGAACGGCCACCGGGACCCTCCCGGTGCTTTGATTCAATGCCTGAGCACCTCTCCTCTTCACCACGCCTTCAGACGCGCTCACACAGTGCCACACACTGGTGAGCGGGAGGCGGGTGGGACCTGGCTTCAGAAAAAATAACCCCACACCCCGACTCCTCACAGCTCTGTGTCCTGCAGCAAGCTGCACCTCCTGGCAGCGACCCCAATGGTGACAATGTGGTGCCGGTGACAACAGCTGACACCACACGGCCAGGTGTCCCTGTGAACTCCACACGTGAGAGGGGCGAGAAAGCGTCCACGCTTACACAACAGGAGGCAAAAGTCTAATCCAAACAAAGTATTTTGGTTCCCGAGTGCCATGTTCCAGGACAGGAGTTCTCTAGCTTTTAGGACTCAGGACATCTGTGTGCTATTTACAGTACTGAGAACCCAAAAAGAAAATTTATAAATATTGTTAGAAATACAATAATATTTAAAAATACAGTAATATTTCAAAGCAAAATAACAACCATTACTTAACATAAATATTTTAATGAGAAACAACTGTCTTCCACATGCACACAATAGTGAGAGGAGGGCATCATTCTATGTTACTGCAAATGCACCCTTTGCTTACTGTTCTCCTGGCTTAGTACCTGACCTGTGGAGATGGTTTCCCATGTTTCCAGAAGGGCATTTTCAATGGCCTATCAGATGAATCAACACTTAGGGTGTTGTTCTTTGATCCTACACCAAAAGTCATCAAGTGCTACTTTCTGAAATTGCCATGTGAGCCAGGCATGGTGGCACACGCTAATAATCCCAGCACTCAGGAGGCTGAGCAGGAGGATCTCGAGTTCTAGACCTTGGTCTATATAGCCTGAGACTCTGTCTCAAAAAACAAAACAAAAAGTGGTAATGTGAAGTTTGAAGCAAAATAAATGAATTTGCACAGCTTGTTATATTAAAAGGGCTGATTTATCTTGAACTCTTCATGGATCTTTGACTCACACATGGTTTCACAACAGAACGTGTTGGTCATTATTAGATCAGACTGCTGAGTTATATATAACGTCCTCACGTGGACACATTTAATGATGTTGTATCAAAAGCCACACTTGTGAACACTACCACCAACCTCATCCGAGAGGACCGAGACCCCGCCAAGGTCCTGGTGATGGACGGCCAAAGATTTTCCAGAATTCTCATGTTTGCTTGAAAGTTCAAATTATACAACTGGCATCTGATGCCATCCGTTCCAGAGACAGCGAGCTCACTGGGTCCAGTTCCGAAAATCGAACCCCACCTCGTCCTTCAGGCTCTACTTCAGGGACGACGCATCAGTCCCTGAGGAGCCTGTGGCTCAAGCAGCAGGGACAGCTGTGCCGTGTCTCGGGCTGGGCACAGGCTGTCCTCCAGCAGGCACAGCGAGACACACCCGGGCAGAGGTGGAGCTCTCTGCTGCTTCTGAGAACATCCTAAGCACCGGGGACGAAGCCGACAGCGTCACTGTCTCCATTCGCACTCCAGTCCCAGCACCGTTGCTTTTGCACAGGGAGGATGGGTAAACTGAGGCTCGGGTGGCCAGAGTCCCAGATAAAAGGCAAAGGCAGGGCATGGATTCCAAGCCAGGGCTCTCCCTGTCACTGTCCTCTGTGGCCTCCTGCACTCTGCCTTCCAGTCCAGTCCCAGAGCACTGGGTGTGCCCAGCTTGGGGGCAGAGTGGTTACTTCCACCTAGCAGTAGGGCTATGGCGAGCCCCAGGGACTGTCGGGCCCGGACAGCAGTGTGGGGTCCAATAAAATATTCACTCTTTATAATGCAGGGAAGTGAAGCATTAATGTCTTTTCAGAGCTACCATCTCCGAGCTACCCTAGAAACCCATGATCACAGTGAATGGGTTTTGCTCTCCTGTGAACATTTCCAAGGTGCCAGGCTCCTGCTGAGCATCTCACACTGACCTTCTAAGCCTTAGCACAGTCCTGTGTGACAGACACAAGGGGCTGGGATGCGCTCGAGGTTGTCACACAGCCAGACTCAGACCCA